TTACCTTAAAATAGGCACTCCTGGGCTTTATTTTTACTCATATGTTCATAACTGTTTCAAGACAGAACTTAGAAAATGACATTTAATTTTCCTATATCAATGCCCAGGGGATTACTTGTTAGATTATATTTACAGAAGATCTGAATAACTGTTTCCACGAAGAACTTAGAAAATGACATTTAATTCCCTATATCAATGCCCAGGGGATTACTTGTTAGATTATATTTACAGAACATGCATTTAGTTAGTTTGCAAAACAGATCTGTATTTTACTATGGGTCACAATACGTGTGGTACTACAGGGTCTAAGGGCCTTATGCCTAAGATCTTAAATCTTTCTTCTAGGAGCTTGCAGTGAATTCTGATTGGCAAAGACAGTAAGGACATTTAGAATGCATCTTATCTAATCCATGGCTTTTCTTACAAATTGATTTAATGCATTAAGTGATTTCTCTAGGATTTTCCTTAAATTTATATCTCATCTCCCAAGGTTATAATCAGAAATAAGTTCTTCTAGGTCCACACAGATATCACTGAGCAACAGCAGACTGCAGGACGAACACTGGAAAGATGTTTCGTGGGCTGAGATCTTGCAGGAGGCAGGTGAGAGGAAAGCTTTCATATTTGTTGCCTCAGGAATCACAAACATTTACCGAGTTTCTATTACGCTCCTGAGAATGGTAAATATCATGAAACTCACTCAGTGTTTTCAATCTTTTTAAACAAATATGAGCATATATGTATAGACCATAATTGGTTTTCAGTGCATAAACGTATTTGGTGCTGGGAAACAGTTCAGTTTTTAGAGATGATTCTTATTCTTGTATCTTATGAGTCAAAATTGAAACTATTGACTTTATATATTATGGCATCTACTTTTATCATTGTGTAGTTAGCCCTCAATTATAATTAGTCATTTGCACTTTCCATCTTCAGTGGATTATAAATATCTAACCAAAGGTGTCCTACTAGACTTCTCTCCACCCCTTATAACCCAGCAAAGTGACTGCAACACTGCAGTTCCTCAAAAAACATTATGGAAATGAAAGGGTATAAAAAGAGGCAAAGGCAGCAGCAGGAGTGGATATTTAAGCATCATCCCTTCCACATGTGGAGACTTTCCATCAGGCTTCCCTATTTCATTTTCCTTCTGCTGCACTCTCCCAGCCCAAAGTTTTAGCTGGGGAGAAATTGCTTTAAGTTTAATAAAAGAAGAAAACAAAATTAATAGTAAATTTCCTTTTGCTCCCAATGAATTTAATAGCTGCACTAGGTCAGACCACAAAGATGAATACAGGTTGGGGCCTTCAGTTCATCTACAAATGCTTTCAGTTTTGTTAACCCTCAGCCCAGCAAACAAGCACAGTGAAGGAGACATAGAAGATCAAAGATCCCAAGTGAGTCACCCATCAGAGGCCCCTCAAAGCACAGGTCTGGGAGCAAAGTAGAAAAATCTACCAGGTGAGAGGAAATACATCTTAGCTCACACCTACCCTGGCTCCCTCTTGTATATTGTCTTAGGCAAGTGCAAGAGGTAGAAACCCATCCGGTTCTGTAAGAACTATCTTACAGCATCTTGCTGTACCATAGTTACATTCTTATTTCCTATTATGTCATCAAGTTTGTTTGATTTGCAGTTAAGCAGATTTGCCTACAGCGAGTAACACTAGGAAGGACCACCAGAATTAGTCATTTGGCATTAAGGTAGGCCATCTAATAAAACACGTCCCAGTGGGATGTCTCTCTGGTTGTAACTTAGCTCCACTGGATGATGTCAGTGGAGTAATGTTCCCCAGGAAGTGTGAAGGCACAGAGTTCATGTCAGAGGATGGTGGTGTCCTCTCCTTTTACAGCTGCCTGTGGTCACAGCAGATGGGAGTACTGGCCTGTGGGGAGAGGGCCAGTCATGCCAGATGTGGTTTTTTTTTTACTACGCTTTCCCAGTGTCATTCATCTTTTCCCACAGAACACATTGTCATAAAATGGAATGGCTTCAAATAAGGATTCCTTATTTGTTCATGACTTTAAGAGCACTTCTGGCTAGGTTCAGCCGGTCAGTGTTCTTGCTGGCCTCCACTAAGGTGATCTGTTGGGCTGTGGCTTGCTAGCCCTGACTAGTTCTAGGAAAGCTTGCATCTCTCTGGCAGGTAGCAACTAGCAGCAGCCAGAACTTCTTGCTTCTTCTTTGTTGCTCTCTCTAGCAGGTTAGCTCAGCTTACCTCCTTGTGACAGCGTTCCAAGAGGAAGAGACAGGGAGAAGCTATAAGCCCTTAGGGTAGGGGTGGGGGGGAGTATCAGCTCAAAAGTTCCCAGTATCACATCTACCAGTCATATTGGTCAAAACAAGATCCAGAGTCAACTCAAATAGAAAGGGTAGGAAAAGGGAGTCCTTCTTCTGACAGGAGCATCTGTAAAGCATTTGTGGTAATTTTTAATCTATCAAACTTCTCCTTCTTAAAAATCCAATAGAACACCTATAGTGTTTTCCAAACACTTCATTATCTTATATTTACTATCTAAGTAGTTCCCAAATAGTAATTAGTGATAACTATTAAAAGTGAAAATGAATCTCTCTCTCTCTCTTCGTTCCTCTCTCTCCTCTCTGTCCCTTTTTCTTTGTCTCTGTGTCTCCCCCACTTCCCCTCCCTCTCCCTCCCCATCTTTCCATATGATAGAAATAGCATTACAACTGTTTAGACTGTTTTTTTTTACTAATAAGTAAACATTGTGGAGTGAGTAGAACACCAGTCACTTCAGAAACAGGAGAAACAATAGAATTTTCATTGTATTGCTTTTAGTCACACTTTCACCCTCTGGGTGTTTCTGGAAGGCTGATCAGAAATAAAATATGCTATTCAGAAAGAACACAATTCCCTTATAAACCACCAGCTTCTTTGCAAAAGCAACATTATACCTCAATTCCGTTATTCTTTTAAAATAGAATTTACCGTGCACTATGGTTATCACCTCCTCTCTTATATCTGTGTCTGATTAGCCCTTGGTGGGGATGATACATCATAAAAGGCTTTTGTTCTGGGCTACCCGAGGTGATTTCTAGTATTCTGTTGTGTCAGCTCAATGTAATGAGAACACAGTATTTTAACATTATTGCTGTCCAGTTGCCATTGATGATAATGGGCTCCTTTTATGGCCTTTTTGACACTCAAAATAATGCATGATAACACTGTGTGCTGACCTCATCTTCTCTGAACTAGTCTTACCAATGTTGGTCAAGGCCACAATGACTCTGAGTTGCTCTGGGAGTTGCCATTTCAACTATGCAAGGTTATCAGTCTAACACTCACAGCTAAAGCTTGAAATTTCTTAGGACACTTTAAGTTACTTCATAATGGATCATCTTTCTCCACGACCTCTAAGACTTCTCTCTGGTAGAGGATCTCATTTTCCAAATAAGGAAAGATCAGTTCCGGACACTGTCCCTTTGGCAATAAGTGGGTGAGGGAGATACAGAAGAAACCCAGGAAGTATTGAATCGTGACTGCAAACTGAGCCAACAGGAAGTGCAAATTGACAGTGAGGCATCTGCAATGATGGAGTCATCAGGGACGACACTGATACAAAGTCTCCTGATACTGGAAACAAACCAGAATGGGAGCAAAGAGCTGAACATGAGCCAGATTTGATTTGTCAGGGGGTTGCTTCTATTTTGACAACAGCTCAGTAAAATTGTCATATCTGTTGAGATTCTGTTGAAAATTAGCTGTAGCAATGAACAGCAAACACTCCTATTTTCACGAATTGTGTACACAGGGATTTTCCTACAATGAGTCATCAGCCATAGCAACAATGAAGTGTCACAACACTTCCGAAGATACCATCTGTTTAACGGAGATGATCCAGAGACAAACATACATCATTGAGCACAGCTATTTTTTTAAATGACCATTGATTAAAATCAAAGCCTTCAACTCTTCTCTGAACTGTTACTAACAGTGCAGACATTGGAAAACTGCAATTAAAGTGGGATGCATCAATAGCATCTGTTAAGACTATAGATGATGTTTGCTTAGGCGTCTTCTCTTGGGAACAGCTGACATTTGAAAATGTGGAAGATATTTGCATCACCTGTGTCCTCCCCACCTGGTGTTTACAAAATCTTCACACTGGAGAGTGCACTGTTAGGCACTTCTATTTTACTTGTAATAACAAATAAATATAAGCATATTTTTTCAGACTGTCCTCAGTAGGAAACCCTTGCAGGAAAAAGTGTACAAGGTCATCAAGATTACCAAGAACCCTTCTGTGAAAGCACCTTTCCTTATGGTTGATGATCTTGTTTACATAAAATATTCATTTGAGACCTTGTAAATTTAGAGGGTTGGAGACAAATTTATCATGTAAATACAACACAATTCAGTTATGCAGGTAATGACAGATCAGAGCAAAAATTAAAAAGCAAACTATGGGTGCAAGCACTGATAGGGGCACACTTAACAGGAAAAAGACAGTAGGCTCATCATTACATTCTAGATATAAAAGGTATTCTGAATTCTCCTTGGTAGGTTTTATTTCAGGCAATCTTAAGTAGTGGTTATATAAAACTAATCCAAAAACTGTCACAGGTGTTTGGGAGTTTGCTCACAAGTATTTATTGCCATTGCTGTGACATATTCCACTTAATTCGGAAAAGCTTTATCAAGCACCCCTGTATTGTGTCTGCTCCCACACTTTCATCTTCCAGTCATTTCTTGTCCAAAGAGGAAAGAAGAAATCATGTTTAATTTATAACACATTGAAACCACTTTATAGTACTTCTGGAGGTGACAGAAGCAGCATCTGTATAATAGACTAACTTGTTATTCCAAGTTTTTGCCATCTGGATTCGAATTTCAAAAAACATGTTAATCCATGTTACCAAATAATAGAACCTTAAGAATAACAAACATGCAGGCAGTTTTGTTTATTTATGTGATTATTCCTTCATGTACATATTCATTCACCTTCTCAGTCTTTTAGCAAATATTTATTGACTGTTTCAGATGCAGAAATCCCTGTGTTAAACACTGGGGAAAATATAAAGAAGAGGAAGTTCAGATTACATAAAGAAAATTCCTTTTCGCCGATCACAATTAGTGTACTACGTGACCTGGGAGACGTTATGTCACATCCCTCATCTGTTTTCTTTTGAAGGACCATATCAAGAATTAACTGGGGTAAGAAAACCTTCGCAGATGTTTATAAGGTTAAAAATGCTATTATTTATTCAAGATGAAATATGCAATGCAGAAACTTTACTGAAGCTTGATTCTCAGCCCATCTCTTATTTTAGGAAAAATAAAATTTATAGCTATAGTTTCAGGGGACTTAGAGTAATGGACTACATTTTATTAGGAAGGTAATACAGCTCAGATACTCACCAGCCATGTGACTAAGTTTCCCTGAATTTGTTTCTTAATTTGTTCAATGGAAATAATAATATTGATCTGAATGGGCTCTTGTGAGGGCTAGAAATAATTTATGTAATATGTTTGGTGCATAGCCTAATGGATAGTGTTGTCTTAATAAAGAACAGCCCAGTACAGCTGCTATTAATATTAGATTCCAGCGAGGCGAGGCTAGTGAGAAATTCTACCCTTAAGTATTTTAGTAGAAATCGATAACTCAACAATAACAGCAACATAAAAACACCTTGGCAGTTGCACAAACCTGTAATATTTAGAGTTAGAGTTAACAAGAGGTAAAATTTCAACATTCAATATTGGCAAAAAAAAGTAGAATATTAGCTTTATTTCAATCAAACTAAGGTTGCATGTTTCTTTTGAAAGTTTTGCAGTTCATCGTCTCCTCCATCTATGTACCGTTCCCTAAACTAATGGCAAAAGTGTCTGACATTTGTTGGCAAAATCAAATAATGTTAATGTTTTTCTTCATCACTGAAAAAACTATGATTGTCTCAAGCATTCCAAAACCTATTGTGTTTCTCTGGTAAGTCAACAGTTTAGCCCAATAAATAATGACCCTCATCTTTTCTTTTGGAAATATGTTTAACTTTGAAAAATTCAACCATCACTCTTGCTTGAAAAAAAAAGAGGAAATCACATAAAATCATATTTTTGTCTGAAGTCACCTCTTCACACTACTTACTTTCTAAATGTCTGGCTAGAGGTTAAGCTTTGGTGATATAAATTTAGAGATTAGTAATTCTATGTGCAGAATTTTACTGAAGGCTTATTTTCTTGTATGACCAGCCAGTTGAGACCAAATAAAATATTCATAGGTTCCTATTTTAAAATTTAGCATTAAGTAATGTGTTTTAAATGGCATCCAGTGACACTCAACAGATTGCCAAAACAACTAAGTTGTTTTTTAAGTTGGAAAATAAAAAAAAAACCTCCAGCAAGGAATTGGTTGTTCTGAAGACGCTAAATATCACACTGCTACCTACTCAGAGGTGTAACTATGAAGGTGGTGGTCAGGATTCACGAGAAGGAGACAGATGAGTGAGGCTTGCTCAAGTCTATAACTAAAGGCTCAGTTTGCAGTGTGTGTGTGTGTGTGTGTACCACGTGTGCATTTTGTCTATGACTATGGATACATTAAAATCATTCTTATAGTAAGAATAGGGCCACAAGAACCTATAGAGAAAACCCCCCTCCCAGAGGCTGAGGAAGTATCATCACCCGGTTCTGACAGGACATGGAGCATGCAGGGAAGCTTGCCTGAGGTATGGGAGCTTTCTTGCAGTCCTTTCTCTTTGGTGCTAGATAAAATATCCAGAAAAACAAGTTCTATAACTCAGAATGCTTTTTAGTAAGGTTCTCTGAGTCTAAATCCCAGGTCTGACACTTACCAATGTTGTGATCTTGGGTAATTTACATACTTACCCTTCTTGTACTTGAGTTTTCTCATTTGTAGAATAGGGATAAGACTGCTACGTAGGTCAGAAGGATATTCTGAGGATTAAATACTTAGTACGGTGCTTGGCTTATAAGGATTGTTGGCTAATGTGATTGATCCCTGAGATGAAGTCCCACAGCCTCAGGGCAGTGTCAGGCTTCCTATCAGCTAAAGCAGCTTAACATGACCTAAAAGGGTGCAGGGACAACTTTATTCCTTGCCAAAAGTCTAAAGAAAAATTGATTTCTCCACATCAGATCATATAATAAAATAACACAACAGTATATTTGCTATTCCTACTCAGCAATATTAACATGCATATTATTTTAGTAATGGTCAATAATCTGTGAGTAAATAACAGTAACTTAGTTTCTAAAGGAATCATTTAAGTTTTTTGTTTTGTTTTGGGAATTGAACCGGTGACCTTGCACATGCCAGCCAGGCACTGTGCCACTGAACTATACCCCCAGTTAAACTAGTCATTTAATGAAGTAGCATAATAGTTATTTACTAGTGTAATAACAATGAGGGCACACAATTCTCATCTGCATCTCTGATGTTCAGAAGATGAGGTATTATCTTGTACTTTACAGGATGCCTAAAAATGGGTTTGAATCACAGGCCACCTTTCAGACACCATGTTAATAGACACTTTTTAAAAAGGACATAACATTTGCAACATGGTATTAAAATAATTTTCCGTCCATGGATGTGTTTAATAGACTCTAGATCAATCACCTTGAAAAAAATCAAAGCTGGGGAAGAATATTCTTTGACCACTTTCACTAGAGGATAATTTCCAAAAGAGGGTGTCATTGCTGAACCTGCCTTTGGAAAGAAGTCAATGGAGCAGAGATGGACAGAGGAGAGGCCTAGCTATCTGCTAAAAACAAATCTTCCAGGTGAAACACAGATATGTTTTTGCCATTTACATATATATTTGCATCATTTAAAAACGTGGCTTTGGTGGCTTAATGTGGAGTATGTACTGAGTATACACTTGATGCTTTATTCATTGATGGTGTCATTTCAGTGGAGGGATCAGGCAGAGGTAGAAACAGCAGGATGTGCTTTTACAGATTATCCTCAAATATTTGACAATTCTGTTTTGTAGAAAGTCTTTCCTGACTCTTGTCCTACAGAAATAAATACTCATGGTTTCTATATCATGGATTTCTTGGGTAAAATAATTTCACATTGACTATTTTCAGCCATGGGATGATTAACAATATTATTTTGTAAGCAATAAAAAAGAAAAAGAATTACATATGGGTGAGAAAAAACTGGGATTCTCAACCCCAATCCTTTTAGTTGGTAATCTATTGGGATAAAAGAAGATAACTGTCTACCACCACTGTTGCAGAAGCTTCACAGAGTCTGACTGCTGTGTATTTGTTTTGTTTTGTTTTGGGAATTGAACCGGTGACCTTGCACATGCCAGCCAGGCACTGTGCCACTGAACTATACCCCCTGTTAAACTAGTCATTTAATGAAGTAGCATAATAGTTTTTGATTGAAGTAAGCTAGCATGGGTAGCCTAGGGGGAGTGAAAAGGAGAGAGAGGCCCTGTTGCTGTTCAAGGAGAGTACCCAGTGGAAGAGGCAGATGTTGACAAGAGTCATGGTGAGCTAAGAAAGGGAGGGTGATGCCTGAGCTTTATCAAGATGATTGTCACCTCTGTCAATTAGCTAGGACGAGATGCGGTGGGTACTCATGGTCAGCGGTGATTAGCTGAAGATATAAGGCAGCAAGACAGCTGAACAGATTCGTCAGGGTAAATGAAGGTAAGGAAGACAGAAATAAGGATAAGAAAATATATTCATTCATGCGGACTTATTTATCAGAATAAAGGTGTGGAGAAAATAAAAAGCAAGGACAGAATAGTTTTTTTAAAAGTGCTAGCTATTAAACCTCTTTAAGACAAGCTTCATTGTAAGAGGCTGCCACTCGAGAGTACAATTGCCCTGCCAGAAATAGCACTGTGAGGCCTTGCACTGTCAATTAAAATAAGATAAATCAGAAGAGCATGTGACTGAGAGTCACCTCCCCGCCACTTCAGCACCATTATCAGCTATAGGAGCTACAAAAACCATCTTGGCTCACAGAAGCAGTGTAGTTTTCCTTAGAAGTGTGATTTTGTGTCAAGGACAAAAATAAATCATGCCGAACCTTATACCAGGTGTTGTTATTGTCATCACTGGGGAGGCAATTGTTTTTCACATAGATAGGCTCCTGGGCAGGCTGTTGGTGGCAGAAAGCAAACTCTGCTGTTTGTTAATGAGTGTGATGGATACCCATCTGCATAGTAATGAGCATGAAACCTTGTCTTTGAAGATGGTGATCAGTGTAGACTGTAATATATTGGGGGAAGAGTCTGTTCGATGATATAGATCTAGAATGTATTATTGCTGAAAACAGACATCTGTGTTTGGCAGGTGTGTGCATATGTTTGTTTCATTCAAGAATGAGCATGCATAACCAACTTGCTAGTCAGTTACACCAGCAAAAGGATATTAAAAGATGTGGTCATGGAAATAACAAGATAGCAAGACAAAGGAGGCAATAAAGAAAGTGTGACTTTGCCCCATTAATCCCATGGTCAGTGGTCAGTGACATAGGAGGGGCCTAGCATGGTTTTGAGGAGAACAGCAGTGGAGGGCTTTCAGGCAGAGATCTGAACAAAGTGGGCAGAGGTCATAAATGGAATGCAGATAAGACAGCATGAAGTAGTAGAGGAGTGGTTGGCAGGTGCATAATTCAGGATCATAAATATGACAGATTTCCTTGTTCTCCACTTTGCTAGAAGCCAGTGGATGGTGAGGAAGACAGTCTTAGGTTGTAGGCTCATATAGAGAAAATGGGAGCTGTTGGGAGGTTCTTCTCAGTTTATGGTTTGGAATTAATTTAGAGACTAGAGGCCAAAGTCCAGAACTAGTAAAGAATCTTTGTCAAGTGGGGCTGAATATCTACCCAGAGATTCACACACAAGCTTACAATGGGCAGACACTTGTAACACAGGACCAGCTGGCTGGGATTTGCTTCATGTGTGTGCTTCAGTAATTACATCAACCCCAGAAAAAGTGGTTCAGTTGTAGGAAGAAAGCATAATACTGCTGCCTGTGAAGAAGTGGAACACAAAACTTTGGAATAAGGAAAAAGCACTGTGTGTATAGGAGAATATTTTAGAAAAATAGTTTATTTTATACCTCTTATATATGTGTGCATATGTGCACATACATCATATGTTTGTACATGTGTGTGCTTATTTCAGGTATATAACCATAGTTGAGAGGTTTTGAGACTATAATTTCTGAAAGAAGCCAGGTGAAAAGGCTACATATTATTTGACTCCATTTATATGATCTGTCCAGAATGAGTAAATCTTTAGAGAATGAATACAAATTCATGGTTTCTAGGAGCTAGGATAGAAGACCAAGATATGATTGTTTCATGAGTATGGAGTTTCATTTTGGGATAGTGAGAATGTTCTGGATCTAGGTAATAGTGATGGTTTCTCAAAATTGTGAATGTCCTAAATGCCACTAAATTGTAGGCTTTAAAAGGGAATTTCAGGTGATACGTATTTGAGCACAATTAGAAATAACCTTATGTGTAAAACCAGCCCATTTTTGAGAAGAAAAATGTCTATATTTTATATGAGTGAAAACAGAATGTGGCTCTACCTAAAGTTTTAAGAGGATAGAGGAAGTAATACTCAGGAGCTGAACTGTGAGAAGATGTTTTTCAATCATTTTCCTTCCTGATAATACATATGGTTTGGCCAAGGTAATATTTATGGTCCCTTCAATGTGTAAAACTTTATGACTTCATGATTTGATATATCAGTGCTGCCTCCCAGAAGCAGATCCTAGGAAAGGAATCAGAAAAGTAAGGCTCAGCTAAAAGCACAGAAAGAAAGAAGATATATCAGGGTGAATTTGGAAAGCTGCATCTCCTTTCAAAAGAAAAATGTGGAAAATAAATTGGTGTTAGATTTAGAATGTTGTATAAAAGTCACTTGAGAAATAAAAGAGTTTGTAAGAAGAACAAGATGTAGAGGAATAAACATGGAAAAGAACTGGTCTGGAAAAAGAGGAATGGGTTTTGGGTTTGGGTTTTAAGGAGGAGACAGCTCTGTTTGGAAAATAAGAAAAGGAAGACAACAAGAACCAGGACAATAATGAAGAAAAAGTGATGAAGCAGAGAATCAATATTCCACCAAAAATGCATGGAAAGCCCTAGGCTGAAGGGGTTAGAAGGAAGCAACTGTTCAGGAGACAAAGATGACAACATGAAAGGTCAAAGGCAGAAAGAGAAAAGAACGTTGAAATAAGTGTTTAAAAGTTCACTGAGCTCATTCGGTGGTGGAAGCAGGAACATAATGGCAGGGGCAGATGGTTTCACGGAGACCGTGGAAGAAAAGCAAGGTGACCACACTGGAGCCCAAGTTCTGAAAATCAAAGGCCCTGGAGGGAGGTTTGCCACAGTGGGAGACAAGGCGGAAAATGAAAGAAAACCGTGAGCCAAGTGAAGGACCTGACAGCATCTAAGGACAGGCAAGATGAGAAGCATGAAGAGAAATTGTTAGGAAACATATGGGAAGTTTGAGACTTCTATAGAAAGCAAAGTTGTGGTGGAAGTGCTTTTAATGAAGCAATTTCAAGGTCAGTTCTATATATACATATAGAGAAGTGCACGGTTGTGAACTTGTGCTGGGGTCAAAAGAAAAAGACAAATGACACAGGAAGGGTACTCCTAGTAACTCTCAGTACAGCAGAATCCTTCTTGACAACTGCATCATGCATTATGTCATGTAGCATGATGATCTCAGCTTCATCCTTTAATCTTAAGCCACACATAAGAAAACTAAAACTCAGGAGCTTCTGTACAAGTTTTCCAAATTCCAAGAGCCTGCATGGAATGGGGATTTTAACTGAGTTCTATTTAACTATTAAGTTCATCTAGTCCTTCCTTGCATAATGTATTTCCTATAAATTCATTTGTGAGATTTTTGGTTGATTGTTATTATCATCTTCAAAATAGGCATAAATGCCCATTTTTGTTTTGATTTTATTACTCAATTGCAATAAATTCTTTTCTCTGGTCAGCTTGATTTTCAAGCTTCATTGTCTAACTTTCTCCCTCTATGTGTTTCAGAGACACTGCTTCTGCATATTGCCCATGTTCTTTGGAACTCGAATTATACATAGAACATTCTGCCCTATTAAAAAGAGTAGGTATTATAATGAAAATAGGACTATTAATTCTTCACTAATGGCATATTCTGAGGTATCTATACTTGGGGTGGACAGATCATACAATTTTTTTTTAACTTTGACACATATCTTGAAAATTTTTATGGTAATAAAGTTTCATATATTTTTGTTGGCATTGCTTGAATGTATCAGTATATTTGATCAGTTCTCTAGTTAGATATTTAGGAGATAGCCTATATTTCTGAACTAATCAATTATTAATTACATATGATCTTTTTACAACTTTCTACCTTTTATTAGTGCATATTAATTATACAGAATATTGGTTTCATTTGACATTTCCATACATGTACATAACATACTTTGGTCATGTCCATCCCATTATGTTTTTCTCCCTTTTCCTTCCCTACCCCCTTCCTTTTACCTAATAATCTTACTTCTACTTTCATGTCATCATTTTACTCTTAGATTTCACATTTGAGAGAAAACTTGTGATATTTGTCCAAGACTGATTATTTTACGTAGCATGATGATCTCAGCTTCATCCATTTTCCTACAAATAACATAATTTTGCTCTTCTTTATGGATCAATAATATTGCACTTATTTTTCACATCATATTTTTAATCTATTTATCTATTGATGGGTACTGAGGCTGATTCCCTAACTTGGCTGCTGTGAATTGTGCAGTGATAAACATGGATATGCATGCATAATTGGCTGACTTTAATTATTTTAAGCACATACCAAACAGTGGCATCACTAGATCAAACAGGATCTCTGTTTTCAGTTTGTTGACTACTCTCCATACTTACCTCCAGGATAGATGTACTAACTTACATTCTCTCTAATTGTATAGAAGTCCCTACCATCCTTGCTAGCATTTATTGATTTCTGTACTCTTGATGATAGTCACTCTGACTGGAGGAGAAGATGTTGAACATTTTTTGAAGAAATTTTTGGCCATTTGTACTTCTTTTGAGAACAAGTAATAAATCAGTAAAGTGAAAATTACTCTGTTGGCTGCTGTATGAACTAAGCCATGTGATAGTGTCTTGTTTGTACTCTCAAACTTGGACATGACTCAGAGTCAAATTCCCCAAGCACAAGATTACCCATGAAATATGTCTATCATTTTATCCTTTATTACTTTAACTCCAGTAGCCTTCACGACCCTTCTGAAAATTGTCATATAGGAAAAAATTCAAGAGTTTGCTTATATGTAATTTTCTTGGTGCTGTTATTTCTTTTCCAGAGTTTTTACTTAATAGGAATCAACTGACTTCCTTTATTTCATCTTTACTATGAACTTTTGAATTAAGTATAAGAGTCTACAGCCATATCACCCCAAACATGCCCAATCTTGTCTGAATTAAGCATAACAATTTTTACTATCAGATGAAAAAACAGAGTAGGGGGGGTTGAGTAATTTTTCTAATGTCATGCTGTTTCTAAGTGATAGATATTAAAATTGAATTCTTCTCTGAATCCAGAGCCATTTTGTTCTGAAACCCTGTATCATTCTTATTGTTTTTGCTTTGTTTTGTTTCATCTGTTGTTGGTATTTTGTTATTTTTTAGAAATTTTTTATTACTATTCTCTTTAAAATAAAAAAAAGAAAAAAGTAGAAACAAGACAATAAATATATGAACCTGGGTATTTAAATGCATTTATATGTTCATTTATTCATTCAGTCATTTGAAAAAGACTTTTACTAGGGAAACCAAAGAAAAAAAAGATACTCAGGTAGGATTAGAAAAATGGTGAGAAATTGAGGTAGGACACAGTCTTGACCCTAGAGGGCTGCAGAGGCAAAAGAGAAGGACGGATTTAACAAGTTCTAATAAGCTTGTTTGGCAGGTTAACTAGGTTAACTAGGTTACCTCAACCTGGGAAGATTGGGGAAGAGATTAAGCAGGCAACATTTCATCATTTTGGGGGCATGAAAATGTTTCTCAGGATAATAAGAGACTTATAAAAATGTGGCGGCATGAAAGAACATACACACTTCCTATGCCTAAATAATTTCCCTGAGGAATAAATTTTACATTTATCATTTTCTTTAGGGAGCTAGGGTGCATCTCAGTGGTACAGCACATGTTTAGGATGTCTGAGACCCTGGGTTCAATCTCCAGTTGTTTCCCCTCCATTTTTTTTCCCTTGAACGTACCATGTATGTAAAATAAGATTTCTTTTGTGCAATTTTCTGTTGCCAAGTGCAGGACAAAATGACCCTCTCAAACTTACCCTGTGCTTCCTCAGGCTAACAAAGCAAGCAAGTTTTTCTGAATAGAGTAAGAGCCCATTCTACTACCAGCCAGGGTAGAAGAAAACGTGTATAACCCTCCTCTTTCACTGCAGAGGTCTGATGTTAGTTTTAAGAATTTGTGGTTTCTCATCTGTGAACATTCAGCACATAAGAAAACAAAAATTGCCCTGGCCTTCGAATAGCTTCTGGATGCAAAATCACCTCCATCAAGTGCAAGAGAAGGTCACAGATGGAGCCAAGAGAAAACCAGAATCAAGAAAATATGGATGTTTGCAGATGAGTCAAAGTGAACAGAAAGTGACCCTGAGCTATCATCCCTTAACCACTCCATTAGGTAAAGTACCAAGAGACAAGGGATCGTACTAAGCAATTGTGACCATTAAGGACAAATGGGATCAGCATAAATTTATCATAATTTATTATCATCATTAGTAATTTTGAGGGCTATACATCTACACATACTGGTCATAGTTACCTGTAGAATGCTTAAAATGATATCAAATAATAGTTCTGCATACCACATACGTGAAAGCATAGCATATTCTTCAGCATTTGTTCTTGTTAATTATTTCAGTGCAATAGAGTAGTGGGTGTCCTGCTCCCTAAAATTTACATATAAATATCACTATGAGATAATATGGTGGATTCCTGGTGTTTAGGGATCTAACATTTCCAGAATTTTCTATTTGTTGTTTTTCCTCATTTTAGTGAAATTTAGACATTAAAAAATTATGTACTTGTTTGATTTTATTTCCTATGGTAAAAAGTAAATACAGAAAACAGTTAAAAGCTATGAAGTGCATGATTCAGTCCTACTAAGTGCACACAGTGATACTGACAGTGTTGCTGCTGTCCATTCCAGAAATTTCTCACTTCCCCAGATGGAAACATTGTGACCAGTGAAAAGCAGATCCTCACTCCTCCACTGTTAGCATATTCTAAATATTACTATACTTTCTTAGACGGTTTAATTTTGTAGAACTCAGTTCAAATTTGCCAGCATGCAAGGATCATTTAAGATGTCACAGGACTCATACTGGGTCAGATTAATGTTAACTATCTCCACTGCAATTCACCTTTGTTGACTTTTTTCATGCAGACATTAGAAATTTATTATGAATTTAGAGATCATTGAAAATCTCATATTTTATTCCACTTGAATATTGAATATTCATTTGGTTGTTTCTTCTCAAACTGCTAATAATAATGAAACACAGACACACTGCACCCATGTACACATATTAGACCATTGACTCTTTTAAAGGAAAATGCCAGTGTCTGTGCCAGGCAAAGTAGAACATGACAAACAATTGGAAATCACTTTATTTTCTAAGCTGCAGGTCAGAGGCACTAAGAAAGTCTCCCCAAATTACTGAAATTTCTCATTAAGAAACTAACCACCTCTTGAAATGAAAAAAAAAAAAAAACACCACCCAACAATAACAACATGTAATTGCTAAGTAGGATCCAGAGAGAAGATCTTGCTGATGAAAACAAACAAAGAAACAAACAAACAAAAGAACAATGGATAAATTTCCCCAAGTCGAAATAAAAACATTCATTCAATAACAAATGTCATTTTACAAGGAAGGGGGAAAGCTTGTCATCTCTTCAAATAAGTTTTATATCTCGACTCACTCTTTTGGAAATATCAGAACATATGGGGATTTTAAAAAAAATTGGAACGAAGGGGGATTAATGGAAAAACAATTTTATCTGTCAAAGATCACCACAAAGCAAACAAAACACAAGCAAGCCGTAGTGACTGTAAAGGGCACGTTCATCAATAATCCTAGCTGGGTTTTAAAGGTTCATGATGCCACAAAAACATCTCCATCATCACATAAATATAATTTTAGTATTTATCTGAGTTAGGGATGACATTTATTGCCTCGCATTCTCCCTCTTAAAGCACAGTGTTTACTTGTCTAGCAATGGTTTTCAGCCTTTTTGCGTTTGGAAAAGAACATCTCCTGCATCTTCGAAAAAACCTTAAATAAATTATGCATTAAATCGTATTTTGCTGTGAAACAGGGACAACAATTTAAACCCACACCTAACACTGGCTATATCTATTAATAATTTAACAAAAAAATTTCTTGGACACCACTATCTACAGTTCATGAATTTATAGTGAAACATGATTAAATGAATCCACAGCTAGGAATCAAGCTACCGAAACAAGCATACATTCCTCACGATGGGCCATAAGGATAATTGGATCTTCTAAAAGAAAACATTTGTTAAGCAAATCAATCAAATCCATCTAGCCTGACTCAACTGGCTGCCATTCCTGCATAAAATGAAATTTGTGCTACATGAATATGTATTTGAATTGGAGAAAACATGGCAAGAAAAATATAGCCATTTAATGGGGGCTCTTTTAATACATAGTTGACAGTTAAAGTTTTCTTTTGCTAAGCAGTGAAGTCTATTGTTACCACTGAAAGACCAAATTAATTCTAGACCAGGTAAAATTACGTAGCTGATGACTATCTTTATTATTCTTTAACATAAATTTATTTGAGATGTGTTCTTATTATCAGAATATTGTCTTACAATTTACAACACAGAACCCAGTGACAACCCCAAAGAGTAGGGTGGTAAATTAAATATGCTACATAGTAAAGGCAATTGCAAAGGAAGAAATAGCCACAGAGGCACCTCTGCCCTGGTATCACTAAGTTCAGAATGCATTTTCTGCCCAGACAAAGAGAATCTTTTAAGAAACAGCTATTTCTAAAAGGAAA